CTCGAAAAGTGCATTTATGGTCGTTTGGTTTGCTAAAAATCGAGCCCTAAAGGGTGAAAACATTTCCAGAACGCCTTTTCCACCAAAAATTCATTATTTTTGGGTCAAAATCTGGGTTCGGAGCTGATAACAACTTTAATACAAGGTTAAAATAAATAAAATGAGCTACTAATCTAATTAGCAACTCAAAACCAGAAAAATTAAGCCACAAAACACCTTGAAAAATATTATGATTTTAAAAATAAACGAGCGAGGCTCCGATACCGCTCTTGGGGTTTGGTGAGTCCGACTCACCGCGGAAACAACCCCGACCCAAAGAACCACTCGCAATTAATAATACCATAAAGCATAACAAATAAATATAAAAGGATAAAATCGGAATTTACCTTTGAAGCGTGCTTCGCCCTCAAAGTCGGGCTCTTACTTGAAAGCTTTAAGCTCCGAAAATACGCGAGCCTCCAACAGAAATCCACCCGCAAAAACTACTAGCGACTTTTAGCTCTGTGACCTCAAGGTTAGCGAGGTCCGACCAAAACCCGAGTATTATATGAGTTTAAGAGTTTTTGCTAATACAATGCTCTATTGAACTCCTACTCAAGCACTCTTCCCAAAAACCCAAGATGTTTATTTATAGGCTAGAGGGAGAGTGGGAATTTCTATCCCATCAATGTGGGAGTCATGAAATTCCACAATTTATTTTAAAGCTAAATTAAAATAAATAAGGAAACTAATAATAAATCTATAAGTGGCACTATCATATGTAAAGGGTGGTGAGGACCACATGGAGAGTAGGGGACCATACTTGCTCCCCACTCAATACTCTCCTTGTGCCACATGTCGCTCACCCCACTTGCTTCCATATGCTCCCACTTGCTTCCCCTAGTACTCGGCCATATGGCCCAGCTGCAGCCCAGCCGAGAGCCCATCCCCGCACTTGATGTTGCGGGCTACTGTTATGGCTAGCAAGCTACGAACACAAGTGTGGGATGTTGGCCCTTACGTGCGCTGCTAGCACGCATGCTTGCGGGTGCTAGCTACTGCTAGCATGCGTTGCTTGCGGCTGCTAGCATGCTGCTAGCTATGGTGCGCTAGCATGTACCAGCCGGCCATGCATGGCTCGGCTTGGTGCGCTTGCTAGCCACCTATACTAGGACATTTTTGCCCCTAGCACTCGGATTCTCGAGGAACTGCGATGCTAGGGGTATTTTGGAATATGGTCCATTTATTATTATTTTGCGCGTCTTGTCATTTACTATTTTTGACTCGACTTCCGACGCTCGGTTTTGACGTTCTAAGCTCGAATTTCTGACGTCTAAATATTTAATATTCGGGCGACGAATTAATTTCTTCCGAATTAATTCGTCGAGTCGGTTCGTTTACTGCTAAGGGTGTGACCCGAAGGGTTCAGTCAAGATTAAGCTGTAATATTAATTATACATTAATATTACTGATCGGAAGCGGCCTCCACCTAGGCATTTCGATCACTTGACCTTACTGAATATATTAGTTTTCTAATAATTTTGTACCCACTAACGGAATAGTACACTTGTTCGAAGGACACCATTCCTTTCACTAAGAATGCAGTAAAAGAATGCATAGAACTTAAACATGGTGAGAAATGTCAAAAAAAGGCTGAAAAGAGGTGTCAGATCATTACTTACCCATCACACCTCCCGAGCTTCTCCAGAATTTTACACATTATATGCCAAATACACCATCTGTGACGAGTTGTAGGCATCTCTAAGGATAGTGCCTTGCGAATAGCAGCTGCTTAATCAGTTAGGATTGCATTTATTGGGTTGTTTCACATGCAAGCCAACCATTGACGAATGAACCAAGAGTACGTGTTTGTGTCTTCATGTGAAACTAGAGCACACCCCAACAAAATAGATTGGCCGTGGTGATTCACACCAACAACATTCACAAAGGGAAGCCTAAACTCGTTTGTGAAACAAGTGGCATCCATGCACACCACATCTCCAAAGTACTTGAAAGCCCCCCTACTTCGAGCATCCACCCACATCACATCTTTCATACGAACATCTTCATTACGACGATGTGTGTGATAGAAATTAGAATTGTCAGCTTGCATCTTCTCAAAATACTCCATCATAGCAACACAATCACCACCTTCCATATTCAACCTAGCCCTCCTATCTTTGTAGACTTCTTATTGTAAATCCTTAACTGTAGTCATGCATGATCCCTTCACATTTATCTAGTCCCAAGCAACCATGAATGTGAGTAACTGGAACACCTTCATTGTAGTAGTTTATTAACGCCTTTTTGACATTGGTTGTCAACTTGTTCATACGATATTCCTTCACCAACTTGGACTTAGAAGGGGAAACTTGGTGCACATGGTCCAATACAACCTTTCTCAACACCCATAGGCCCTCTTGATTCACACTTGCATATATTTTGGCTTCTCATAAACATTGCTTCGATGTCCTTTTACACCGAGCAAGTTCATCCTCCCAAATGACACCATCAACTGTGCCACCTGTCCCGCAAACATCCATGCACTTTGCCCTCTTGTTCACTTCCCTTCTAGCCCTAGAATTTGGATGACCCCAACATTCACACATCTAGGTTATCCCCCGCCTCTCCTTATTCTTCTTCAACATATATCCTTGAACCCTAGTAACCCCAAATCCTATTTGCTCGGCATATTGTTTATAATAGGACTCTGTCTCTTGCCATGATTTAAACACCATACCAACTTTTGGACTTTCAATTGTAGAGTACACAGAAACCTTATTTGTTTCCATAGTCTCTATGGTCTTCGTTGGAGTCAACAATGAATTAGGAACAAAATCTACATATGCCCCTGCCTTAGCAGCCACCACAGGAACAAGACTGTCCGACAATGGAACAACACTGTCTGAATATGGATTACTCATGCTTTCATGACCTGCCTCCTCAATCTCAGTCGATCCATAAGTGTTCTCTTTCATTACTTAAAGATTTTTTTGAACAAACCTACAAAGCACTGGAATTTGAAGAAAGGAGAAGACACTACAGTTTACCTAATGATTACATTTAAAGAAATAGAACAGAATATTGAAACTAATGTTCTAAATCATTTAACCATAATCAGACCAACCATTTAATAATCCTAATTGAAATAATTTATTCATATATAAAAGCAAATCTATATAACCAAATTTGTTAAATGGCCATAGGTATCAAGGAATTTTAATTAACTAGAAGTTAGGATTTACAATACATGGGATTACTTAATCAACATAGGATTACTTAATCAACATAATTCTTATGAAAATTCGACTAATCAACTTAAATAAGCACCAACTCAACTTTAGTCGACTAATTAAAGCAATTTAGTCAGCAATTATAAACAATCCATAGAATTCAACCTTCATCCAGACTCATTATAATTTCTAATTGACACAACTGGAGTCAAAAGAAAGTAACCCTAGGCATTATAATTGAATACAACTTAAGATATCATATGATTGCATTATCAAAATACTCAAAAAATGAATTCTAGAAACATTAACCATATCCGCTCAATAACAATTCCAGAACCAGATCTACTATACAAATTACCCAATTTAAACAACAAATACGGAATTTAAATTACCGGAATTAAGAGTTATCAAGTGAACTTGTGTTAGTAGATCAACTTTCGTCTACTTCATCTTTCGAGTTGTGTGTTAGTAGATCAATTTTCTTATTTATTGTTTTTTCTTTTTATCCAAATCACTCATATGCTGCTAATATCAAATAAGAGCATCAATTAATTATCTTGCTTCATGTACTTCATATTGTTAATATTTTATGGTTTTCTAATGTTACATTACCTAAAATTTATATAAAAATAAGAGTTTTCAAATTATTAGTTTTAAATATAGAACTCTCATCTGTAAACTTTATACTACCTCCGTTAATTATTATGTGCAACAAAAGAATTTATGTCTCACAAATAATACTCTTTTGTTACACATAAATAATTAACTAACAGAGGTAGTATTTTCTCACCTATTTTTTTAATTAAATAAATTTTAAACTAGTTTTGTGCCTGTGCTATGCCCGAATTATTTATTGAATTTTAAGATAAGCTTTTTTTTATATTATTTGAATTTTCATCTCATTGATTCATAATCACCTAGATAATCATACTTATAAAATAAATAAATAAAATTTAGTACCACGTTACCTTTTATAAATATATGGGTGGTTTTAGGAAAGAGTTTAGGCTATTTGGTAATAGTCATCAGGAAACAACTACAATGGTTGGCTAGTTAATATAATAGCTTGTTGTGCCACATCATCTTTTTAAGATACAACAATTCTAGCTATTTGTTGCTCCAATGGTTAAGCTAGTTATAATTTAATTTATTTTTAAATTTAAAATATTTTTTATCTAATAAATATTTACCAAGCTAATTAGCTCTACAAAGCTAATTTACTTGCCAAAGCTAATCACAAGATTTGCAACAATGGTATAGCTATTGGTTTATAAGTTTTAATATTTGCAAGCTAGTCCCTTTTTTCAACCATTGGAGTTGCTCTAGAAGAAATCAGTTTGAAGTTGCACCCATTTTCACATTAATGGATGATGAAGTTTCTGAATATATTGTGATTTAATACTATGGATAAAAGTATTGAAACATAAAGTTTATTGAAAAACCGAAGAAGCTTGCATGCCAAGGTCAATTAGGTTGCCATATCTAAAACTTAAAGATAAGCGGAAGAATATTCGTTGTCCATTTGTTGGCAAAGATTCATTTAACTACAACCATTTGTATTTTTTTTTTGGTGATCACAACCATTTGTATTTATCAGTATTATTTTTGTTGGATTACTACACGCATGACGCATTAAACCCTCACCAACTCATATTTAGTTGGAAAAATATTATTGCTATTGAATCCACACGCTTACACGGATAATCACACGGCGCGGCTAACACGGTTTATACAGCCAACGCCTAATCAACCTTGGACTAATCATTTCTTAATACCTAAGCAACTTCGCTAATATCCCTTATATAAACCCTTGCGTACTTCATAAGTCGTAACTCATCATAACCAAAATTCTCAATTGTAGTTTACATATAGAGAGAAGGAAGAGAAAAAAAAGAGAGAGAAAATTGTAAGAATTAGCTTTAAAGTGTTAGAAGATTTTTAGAGACTTCAGTTGAGATCATCAGGTATGTTCTTTTAATATTTCTTAGCATTTTTATATTATTTGCTTTCTTGATCAATTTTGATTTCTTGATTATTACAGATAATAAAAGTACGTATGTTATTTTGTTATTTTTTTAATAATTAGCACCAGATCTAATCTAATTAGGGAGTGAGCTTTGGTATGTATGTATGTTCATGCTAATTAATAATTATGTTTTAATGGGATTTGTTATTCCACGGATTATGAAATTAAATAAAAAATTGTAATAAGAACGAATATGTAATGGCCTTTTTTAAGTATATAATGTTGTTGGGTTAAGCTAAAGATCGCAATTCATAACGTTCACATGTTCATCATGTACTCCATATATGTGAGATTGCAATTAAATGTTCTTCGTGTACTCCATATCATGTTCAAATGTAGTTGGATTAAATGTGAGAATGCAATTAGTATATAATATACTCCATATATTAATATCATGGTACAGATATTTTTGTTTTATATTATTATTCAATCACAACTAACAATTGTATTATATAGAAGTATAATGTAATTTAATGTACAAAGTTTTATTTTAATTTACAATTGCAGAATACATAGAGAGAAAATTGTAAGCGTTGACTTTCAAGTTTCAGAATATTGTTAGACTTTTGGTTGAGATCCTGTTATTCAATCAGGTATGTTCTCTTAATGTTTCTCATATTATTTTCTTCAATTAAATTTTGTTTTGCTAATATGGATATAATAAAGGTACTTGTGTAATTGTGTTACATTTTCATTAGTATAAACTATTAGCAGCTTGATCTAATCTAATTGAGAGCTCAGATACGTATGTTATTTTGTTACTTTTTAATAATTAGTAACAATTAGCAGCCAGATTTAATCTAATTAGGGAGTGAGCTTTGGTATATGTACGTTTTTACCAATTAATTTTTAGTGAGATTATGTATGTTATTCCAAAGAATATGATAGTAACCGATAAGTTGTAAAAACGAATATGTAATTGCCCTATTCAAGTATATAATGTTGTTGGGTTATGCTAAAGATCGCAATTCATGACTTTTACATGATCATGTACGTTTTTTTACTAATCTTTTTTATAATCTTCTTTTTCCCGTCATTGATGTATACAAGATACAAATCATATGATTTGAATTAAATATGAGAATGCAAAGTATATTATATACTCCATAAATTATAATCAAGGTACATTTTTATCAAAGTATTCAATCACAGCTAACAATTTAATTTCCCTAACAATTTAATATGATTTAGAATTTATTTTCTAATTTAAAGTTATTTTATTTTAAAATTGCAGAATACATTAAGAGAAGGAAGAACAAAAGGGAGAAATTTGTAAGAGTTGACTTTTAAGTTTCAGAAGTTTATCAAGACTTTTGATTGAGATCCTTTTAGATCGGCTGAAAAAATTTTGCATCAATTTTGGCTCGCTTTATTTTAAATCAGATATGTTCTCTTATCATTTCTCATATTATTTTCTTCAATTATATTTTTGTTTTACTAAAAAAAATACCAATGCACTTTTAAATGACCACGAGTGAGAAATGTTGTTGCACAAGAGGCAGAAATGCAAATGTTTCGAAGTTGATTGTAATCTAGAACATTGAATTACCATATAAATATATGCTATAGGTTTGATTTGAACCTAGAACTTTTAATTATTGTATAAAATTTAGTGTTCTAAGCTTAATCTTATATACTTTTAGGCCACATAATATATAGGTATCATGTGTATTTTAATAATATAATCCATGTTTTTATTACTTTGTGTTGACTAATTAATCATAATTATGTAATTATGTGAGCAGAACCATGGAAGACATTGGACCTATGAGATGCCCTACCCATCTAAATAATTATCTCCGGCAAAAAGAACATATGAAGACCTACAATTGCGATGGTTGTAAGATGGATGGACATGGACAAAGCTATATGTGTACCAAATGCGACTACGTGCTTCATTTGCAGTGTATGTTTCCATCAAACAAAATAGCTCCATCATTCTTACAAAATGATAAAATATTCGAATTCATGAAAGAACCTCGTCCACTGCCAAAACCTAGTTATAAGCGATATTGTGACGCTTGTGGATTTGAAGTGAAAGGGTTTGTTTACCATTGTTTTAAAATGGGTTTTGATTTGCACCCTTGTTGTGCTAGCTTGGGATCTCATTTAGAGATTGATGGTCAAATATTTACTCTCAAGAAAGATAGTGCACCAAAAAAATGTGACCTCTGTGGCACAGACGATGCTAAAAAGAGTGACGTAATTGATTCTGGATGGTTCTATGCATCTAAGAATAAGGATTATAAGTGTCACGTGTCTTGCATTATGAATTTGGCTATTAAGAGCACAATAAAAGGCAATAGCTCTATTAATGATGGTATGGCTTTAGCGAACTTGGAGTTACTACCAACAGTTAATAAGCGAAGAAGTGGTAGAGATGGGAGCAAGTATTGGAGAATTCTGAAGGCTATTGTAGTGTATGTGATATCAATAGCCGTTGGAGATCCAACAACAATTATGGCGAAGTTAGCTGTAGAGAGTGTAGTGCAACTTGGAGCGCTTATGTTCTAAATTCCTAACCATGTACTTTAGCTAGACAAACAAGTATCGCTTAGGTAAATTTGTTTATAAAGTTCATAATATTTTTGTTTGTTTCTTGTACATGATTATGTAATACAATTTAATTTATTCATTATATAACTAGTTCAGCTGTACAAGTATTATATTATTTGATTTGTAGTATTAGTGTTTATTATTTACTCAATGTCATCCAATATATTGATATATTTTTGTTCCCCATTATTAAGTATAAATATCGGTGGTATTTTCATTGCACAAAGTATTAGGAGATGCAAGCCTCACCCAACAACTGGTGAGACGGCTCTCACCTTCACATGAAGTCTCACCTATAGCTTCCCATTTCTACTCTAATGCAACAACTTACTAGAGCCGAATGTAGTGATCTACACGATCTCAGACATTACCTAAATTCCTCTCATTTCCATCCATTTTCTTTTTTTCACCTCAACTTCTTATTTATGTCAATTTAATTGAAACCCAGGCCATTAAACCCCTCTTAAGTTCTATGTATATTTCTTTGATTTTTGTAAAGAGGAAGCCTTAGTTTATCTCCTTGGCAAAACTGTAAATAATCAACAATTTTGCTTAGTCATCATGACATATTTGTAAATAAATCAACTATTTATCTAGTCATCTTGGCATGCTTAATAAATCAACTATTATGGGGTCCTTTATAGGATAAAGTTGTTGATTTATTTACAGTTTTGCCATCTGATAAACATACTTCGTATTTTTTTTATCAAGGAGATAAATTTGTATTTTAAATCTTTTTAATGATGATGAAAAGTAAACTAACGGACACAACTGATGTTGCATTAATTGTTTGTTTGCATAGCTCATTTCCTTGAGTTTAATCAATATCTTCCCTTTTTTCCGTGGGAATAATCCCATCATCTACTAGATACTAAACCTTGTGTTTTAGCACATAGCATCCCGTTTCTTTTGCTTTTGAATTTGGAATGTAGCCCATAGTACCTCTATCATGTAGCTAGATCTGTCTAGAGATAAAGGGAACGTGGTTAAATTCGACTCCGATCCCTTTAAAGCAATGGTTCCAATAAAAATCATTAAAGAATTTTTCAGATTATTGGTCACATTCATCATTGACAATTTTTTAGCTATAACTTTTCAAGTAACATGAGTCCTAAGGGAGGAGCAAACTTTTTTGCTCAAAGTACTTGTATGTTCCCCATAGTGGAACGAAGAACAAGCTTCTCTAATGTCTTCTCCTGTCCATAAAAAGCTCCCATTCTTTGTTGGATGGCTAAGGCTCCAGCTTCTTTCTTTAGGGGGAATTCTACAGTGGTCATCTTCAAATATGACCATAGCTATGCTTGAATTTTATTGGTTAACATCTCTTTCATTAAATTGTTGGTCAAACTTACCTTTTCTTATTTTTCTATTTTATTTCTTTTCTATTTTCTGAAAAATACTTTTTCCTTTTTCGAAATTTTATTTTATATTTCAGAAATTATTTTTCAAAAATCAGCTTTAATTAAATCCGAAAATTAAATTTAATTAAAAAATAAAAAATCAAAAAATATGTTCTTCATTGTTCTTCGTGTTCTTCATTGTTCTTCATGTTCTTCATTCGTATTCATTTCCTATGGATGAATTCAACCTCTTCTTAATAATCTTTGAACCACTAGGTTACTTTCGCATCGATTATCATCAAAAATAGGGCCTGATCCAAACATCATATTCGATATTACAAGTTATTAGAATTTCGAGTTTTATCGGCAACACTATTGGTGAAAAATACTTGAATAATTAGTTTTTATTGTATAAAATCCTTCCATTGATGCAAAATATCCAATTTTATGCAATCGAATTCAATAGTTTTTACGTTTTTCAAGAACTTGGGTTCGATATGAAATTCTAAGAAGAAACCGATAACATTTTTTTTCGAAACCTGTTTGATCCAAAAAATACGCTTATGTTAATCTAACTTTTGTTTGTGTATACGTAACTAACACAAATAGATATTGGACATTACCTGTATGAAACATCTCTAAAATAAATGGGTTATGACCATACATAACATTGGACATTACTAATGAATAGAATTGAATGTCATTTAAATGGTACGTATTTTACGCTGAACCTAGCCAAATTATCTAAAGGAATCTTACATAAATATTCGAATAACAGATTACGATCTCAATATGTTTTAACTAAAGAAATTTTAGTCAAATATTAGGAAATACCTATAATGTGCGGGGATCTCATCAATATCCTTTCCTAAAATATTATCTTTTGAATTTTGAAAAAATTATCTTTCAAATTTTAAGAATCTTTTTAAACATTATCATTAGGTTTTTTTCGCTGTATCATTCTGGCACACTATTCAACCGAATTTGTTTCAGAACTTGCAAAATTAAAATTACCTTTGGAACTCAAATCATGGTTAAGAAAGAAGAAGTAAGTATTTTCTAAATTGATTTGAATTTTTTGAACAATTTTTCATTTATGAATGTGTTTAAAAGTTTTTATGTTTTGAATGTAGTAATTTAGAATATTAATTTCATCTATATAGGTTTTATGTTGTAATTTTTTGAACAAACTATGCAATTTTGTTATAAATATGCAATCCTCTATTAATGAATCAAAATTGGATATAGGGTTTATGTTGTAAACAATTTAATTCATATATAATGGTAAAACCCCATCTTTAAATCACTCATGATATAATCTTTTTCATTGTAGAAAAGTAGTGCAATGGAGAAAGATATTCACTCCAAATTGTCAAAAATTGAGTTAAAATTGGATAAACTCATAGCCGAAGTTGCTACTATATCACAGAGTATATCAAAGGTTCTAGAATCAACTGATTGTAAGAGTGACAAAGAAGGCGATACCATCGGTAAAACTCCGTATCGAAATCGTTCTTATTCTCCTTTCTTAAGCCCTGATGGTGAAATGATGGTTAGCTCACGTGTCTCCACCACTAAACGGAAGCTAGATGTGAATGGCACTGGCGAAGTAGTTGAGGTCGAAGAAAAACACTTTGCAGGATTCGATGTTGATTCCTTCGACATTAGAAATATCCGCTTCACTGAGCCACAATTTCCCCCAGGTCTGGAAACACTCAAGGACCTTATTTAGGATGAAGAAATAATGAAGGATAAAAAAAACAGAGAAAGTGAAAAGCCCTGACATCAAAGTGAAAACTCCAAAGTCAAAAGCAATAACAATGACTGATAACGTTGAATCAGAATCAAACTCGGAGAAGAGGCCGCTTAGGAGGCCAAGGCAAAGACAATTGAGTCAAATTATAGATAGCACTGTGATTTTGGAAAAGGTAAATAATTAGTTATCTTGCAATATAATGTTTGTTATTACATATATAAACTTCAAATATTACTGTGTATAAACTTTTGCTCCCCATTTACTGTCACAGGTACCGTCATCATCATCAAAGCCAAAAAAGGAGAAGAAAAGTAATGCAAAAGCAAAAGGTGCAAAGGTAATTTCCATCAATATTAATTCGAATATTTGCTAAAAACCTTATTTATTAATACTTTGCAAAAGGTATTCACTTATAATTTTTTATGTTATTACACAATCAGTTGTTACTAATATCATAGCCCTTTTTAAACCATGTACTATAGCAACCTGTTCATTCAAAAGCAGTAACACGGTCGGCCGAGATTGAAAACCAAACTATCTCTGAAATGGTAAGGAAATTACCAAAACCTTACTTATTTGATCAATGTTCTGGTGCGAGTTACAACGTTTAACAATAACATATGTAGGCCAAATCATCAAAATCAAGGAGGCTTAAGAAATGCACATCAGAAGCAATCACTGAAGAGGTGATATGTTGTTAGTTTGATATTGTTATTTGGCAAAGACATAAAAGCTAATGGGTGATTACCTATAAGCAATGTATATATAGTTATGTGTGTTCTGAAGTCCTTTGCATCCTCAGGGACAAAGAACTGCGATTGAAGTACATAGTGGTGATGATAATGGGGGTTTGTTTCAGTTACAGGAAGAGTGTTTACAACAACCATTATATCTTAATTATGTATCACATTTATCACCTTTGGAGAAACAAATATGTATACAGGTTGAGAAAGCGAAAGAATCTGATACATTCTATTGTATAAAAGATGAAACATTGATCAGGTTGTCTGTGGGTGAATCTTGGTGTTTGTATCCAGATATGTGGTTAAGTAATCAGGTATACTACTGTTACAAATTCCTAATTAAGTTTGTTTTTGAGAACATGACATTTATTTATTTTCAATTGCAGCTCATAAATGTCTATCTGTATGATATGCTATTGGGGTTAAATGACAAAGCTATGCTCATTTTGCCAGCATCATTTCAGGTAATGGCTAAACTTTATGTAGGATATTTCCAGTACATGGTGTTTATTTTGCATTGTTGATATGATTTCGGATTATGTATGCTGCTTGTAGACTTTAGTACTGAAGTCAGATCCACGATGCAAACATTACATAACTCCATCCATTCTCAGTTACTGTTCCAAAATTTATGAAGCTTTTTTAAAGCTTGTGGATCTCAACAAGGTTGAACAGGTTGGAGATATTTGAGTTATTCAATCTAAGTTTTGTCCAACCTAAAATTTTAATGGCTTTGATGATCTGACTGTTCCAAATGTGTTTGGTCATCAGATATTCATACCCGTTAGAGAATCTCTTGCGAATCATTGGTTCCTATTGGTATATCATGTCTCTATCACAAAGGTATACATTGTTGATTCGCTAAAGATGATTGTGGAACGAAACCGTCTTGCTATGGATATGGTAACTATCTGACTTTGAATGTGGCAACTACCACTAACAGAAGATACCAGATACCTTTTCTGAAATTGAACGTCTTTCTGAATTTGTGATTAGATTAACTTTGCTGCCATTACAATGCGGAGAAATCCCTTGGGTTGATTTTTCAAAAACTCAAAAAGTATTGTATTTGAAGTTATAGATAATCAGAAACAACCAAATGGGTATATCTAACATCTTTCCATTTACCGGAATGTTTTGATTATTCCAATCTTTAGCTAATTTAACTACTTTTTGTTATTCAGTCATGATTGTGGAATGTATGTCTTGAAATATATCGAGTGTGGTGATATCAGGGCAATGAAGGACATTACCTACACGGTATGGACGGAATTTT